AAAAAATTCAGCATAAAAAGCTTTTTTCAGAATAATACCTCAGTTAAAGGGGGGGAAAGGCACTGCATGTGGTATCCGAGGTCACACCCGTCACACAATAACATTGACTCTTCATCTCCTGACCTTCCACATACCTAAAAATTCAAAATCATATTTTATAAATATATTTTTATACTGCTGGGATTTAATGTAACATGTGTATTGAATGTCAAGATATACTCTATCAAAGTGATCATTTATGTAATAAAGTGTACTACTATTAGGACCTTGAATAAGTTCTCACTGTTTCTTGTAAGATGGCAGTTGCAGTACCCTATTTGTGAAATTTAGAATGGTAACACATATGTAAAGTAGTCTTATGATCTGTGCAGGGTGGCAGGCAGGAGCTGGATGAGAGAAGCGGAGGACCGTGCTCAATGTGTGAACTACTGATTCAATGGTAGTAAAGAAAAGATTTTTTGCACCACAGGCGATGAAAAGTGGATACACTACGATAATCCAAAGCGTAGAAAGGCATGGGGTAAGCCCAGCCATGCATGAAAATTCTCTGCAAAACCAAATATCCAGGGTTTGAAGTTTCTTCTCTGTATTTGGTGGTGTCATCAGGGTGTAATTTATAATGAGCTGCTCAATCTGAATAAAAATATCACAAGCATCGCTATTGACTTCAATTAATGTGTTTATGAGCCTTAAAGAAAAACGGCCACTACACGAACAGAGACAGGACAAAGTGATTTTGCTACATGACAATGCTCTGCCTCATGTTGCAAAACCAGTGAAAGCCTACCCAGAAACGCTTCAATGGTAAGTTCTAGCCCACCCGCGGTATTCACCTGACATAGCCCCTTCTGATTTTCACCTATTCCATCCGATGGCACATGGCTTAACTGACCAGCACTTTCATTCATATGAAGAAGCTAAAAAATGGAACAATTCTTGGATAGCCTCAAAAGACAAATCGTTTTTCTGATGCGGAATGCATATACTGCCAGAAAGATGGGAGAAAGTAGTTGCTAGCCTTTGACAATACTTTGAATGAAATCTTTTTGTTGCTTATATTAAAACAAAGCTTTTATTTTGAAAGTAAATAGCGAGAACTTATTCAAGATCCTAATATAATAAAGTGCAATACTACCACGTCATGTAGTATTAAGTATTAAAATACATACAATTAAATTAAATGTAGATGTGTATCTATTTATTTTTGTATTTCATTGCCCTCTGTACACTTGAATCTATCAATGTCTGTTTTTTCTATTTACTTTCTACTCATGTGTAATGTTAATAGTGGAAAGTTGCATGATTTTGTTTACATATTTTTAATCTCTATATACAAAAATGAATTGCTGTTCCGATGCTGGACCGATTTGGCTAATTTTGGTCTTGAATTATTTGTGGAGGTTTAAAAGGTAGATAAATATGAAAATGCTCGGAATTAAATAAAAATAACAATTTTGTTTTTCCTTTTGTTTGTTTTAAGTTTATTTTATATAAAAGTTTAGGTCTTTTATTTATCGATTAAGGCACTATGAAGTCTGCCAGGTCAGCTAGTATATTATAAGGATGTTTTGTACTGTTGGTTTCTCAAATAAATAACTTTAAAAAAATGATTTAAATTTTGAAAATTTTATAAATTATTTGGAATTACTATAAGTGTGGAGTATTGGAAGATTAGACAAGTATCACCACCTTGCCTATTTCCTGCTGTAGAGCAGTCATGGTTGGAAATGTCTGATCCATTAGCCACACTATACAATAGATTTAAACCTCATGCCACAAGGTGATAGTGGCATTCACATTCTGATTTATATTATCACCACATAACACTAAGTGGGCCGTAAGCTCATTTTCACTAATTTATTCAATTAAAAACAAGTAAAGAATATAAGGAATAAAGTACAAAATTAAATTGAACTATGATTATTTTAAAGGAGTAAATAGTAAGACTAGCTTTAAGGTCAGCTGATGTTCAGGGGTTAGCTGCCATAGACCACACTTCACACAAACTCTTTATTCTTAAATCAAATTGAGCAAATAAATGTGTACAGTACCTTTCCATAAAGACAAACAACGCCTTTACAAAGATACTTAGTTACATTGTTCCGTTGATGATAAGTTAAATAGCCTTATTTTCAACTATCTAAACCCAGGCACACTATAGTGGCTTTGTATGATATTAATAGTAGTATATTTAAATCACTATTTCTCAACCTTTGTGGGTTTTATTTGTTTCTACTGAACACTAATTATTTTTCTAAAATAAAATTAGTCTTGGCTACTTTTATAGTGATAACTTCAGCGTTTCAGAGATTAGACAGAATAAACTAACAGCTAAAATGAGTTTTATGTTACAAGTACCATATATACTTTAATTGGATATTACAAGCACATTTAAATTTTATAAGCATAGCTCACCTCACACACTGTTGGGTCTTCAACCACCAGTACGTCTACAGAAGGTCTCCTTTCAATAACTTTCACTTGTTCAGTGCGCAGTACACGTCCACCGGCACAAGCTCTCACTACAATAGAGTCAAATGTCAGCCGATCCACAGGACAGGTATTCACATTTTTTGACCACTCAGTAATACAATCCAGACAAAATATATGTTCACAACTTTGAGGGGTTCCTACTTCTTGATCAGTAAACCGCATAAGGCAAATGGAACATTTTTCGGAGTTGCCTTCTGAGCTGTCGGAAGCGAACCCTGAGGTCGGCCTCGGTACAGCGTCGGCGAGACATGCAGCACCCTCGCTGTCCGAATCCCGTAATTTGGGCAGAGCCCGTCCTCGACGAGTGCGCACCACCTCGCTACCGCTGCTGTCACTCTCATCGTCGCTCACTACCTGTAACACGTAAACACATCATCACTTTTCTTGTCTCTCACAAGCTTCTGCAGGTTGTGCGACTTGTTTGCCATTGTAATAAGTATGATTGGATGCATCACCCTCATTCGGTTTCGACGTGTCCCGACTGCAGTGACGCTGTCGTCGCTCTCGGACTCGGAGGATGACAGAATCGTCACTCTTTTAATTTTACGTTTAGGTCGCGGAGGCGAGTCCTCGCTGTCGTCACTCATCCTGTCTGGCCGGACGCCTTCTTTGAGTTCAGCGAACGCGACACGAAGCCACTCGCAAAGGTGTAAACGACCTTTGCGCTATTAATCCCTAGCTCCGTTTGTTCGACTTATCAAAACTCATTCGATATAATGATCTAAGCCTTGCATAATGCTATTATTCAAAAGATTACAAGACATTCACGTTCATAAAACTTATTTTATTTTGACAGCAAGCCGCTATCGATGGTCGTTCAGCCATGTTTCCAGAGAGTCCAGAGACTTTTTTATTTTGCAGTTCACTTTGATAGGCAAAAACGACTTATGTCATAAAACCCAATGCATAAAAAGAATCATTTTGCACCGAATTAAAACTAAACTAAACTAAAACGACAGTAATTAAGTAATTCTCACAACAATGGTAGAAGTGTACAGGCTTAAAGCAATTTACAAAGGAACTGTTTTCTTGGGTCTTACGAAGACGGCCGACAAAGTTTGGCAAGCTTAGAAAGTGTACAACATGGGCGTGCTAGACAGTTTCATATTTTTCTTACGAGGATCCTCAGCTCCTCTTTGGTCTATAAAATGACATTCCGGGGTAACCTGACCCAGTGAGAATTTTCAGCAATGATGCAACCATTTACTAATCCAGTAGAAACAGTCCCTCGTTACGAAAAACTTAACGGGCAGCCGTTTTGAAAGTGGTGCATAGAAGCAAATCCAAATAAAGGTACATCCGTATTCTTTCAAAGAAAGAGCTCGAACTGAAACTATTCTCGCATCAGGTGTACAAGGCTCTCACAAGATCACATACTTCGGACAATGAATACTGGTGGTAGGACCTCATGTGAGTCCGCGCGGGTAGGTATCAACAACCAGCCTATTTCTGCCTAAAAAAAATAATAATCTTCGAGACGATCTGGATCTCGAATCCAGTCATAAAATTATTATACGAATAAAATAAAAACGACACGATAACCGTCTTATCGTGGCCACCACAAGATATACTCCTAATCCAGCTCATGCAAGAACCAGGCACCGTCAACGCTGTAGTCATGTCCTTGCGAATTTTTATCCCATATCATCTCATCTCATTTCATTTTATTTCACTCCATTTTTTTATCATTTTTCATAAAAATAAGAATGTAAATTAAAATGAGACATGACATAAAGATCTTAGTTACCAGGTCATAAAATCCATTAAAAAAAACTAATTTAACAGTTCATGTAACTCGTCCATCTCACTGAAAAGCTCGACGTAAGCCTTACCACCCTTACCCCATAGTATCCCGTTAAGTTTCTCACCTGTAACTCGTACATCTCACTGAAAAGCTCGACGTAAGCCTTACCGCCCTTACCCCATAGCATCCCGCTAAGTTTCTCACCGGATCTTCTCAATATTGAAGTACTTCTCATATTTCAATCTTGAAATCTTTTATTATTACTGTTGCTTCCGATGATGTTGTTGTGTCCATAAGATATTGTAGCTACCGGCTTTCATAAATATTTATGAAAGCAAGGAAAAAAATTAAATGAATTATCCTCCAAGCCCCAAGTCAGACTTCATTAATTAACAGTATTCTTTTCACCTTTGAGCCGGACTCCCAATAATCAGTTGACTTGTACTTGATTTCAAACATACTATAATACTGGCGTAGTACAGAATATTGCATATTCGAATATCTTGAATGGTTTGTACTGATTATGCACGAGTAGGGGTTTAGCATAAGTATAATCTCGTATGAATTATTAATAGTTACTTTAAAAATATTAAAAAGAATAACTTGTATTGTTACAACGAGTACAATATTGGGAAAGATTATTTTTAAAGTTTGGCCCCAAGAGCTATGTCGCTTTTGCGTGTAGATGTAGAAAATTTTTAAGTAAAAATAAGTCTCTGGCTTAGATGTTTGTCTCCCTCCAACAGAGGAGACATCATGGAGACGTTGCTTCTGTAGCTTGACTTTATTTCAAATTTAAAAACCGGAACATATATTTTTGAGCCAATAGTAAATAAAATGACCGCTGAAAACGAAAGAGAGATATATCACAAGCTGGAGGCGATGAAGGAAATAAGGTAGGAGCCGTAACCAAAGCTAAATTTGTTCAAAATGCCGTCGCACCTGTGGGACTTGGATCAATAAACACTCGAGCATTGTATAGCAACAATTTTATAAATTGAGACAAATATCGCTTGAGTACACAATTGCATTAGTTCTATGCTCTATTTTAAATAAATCACTGCTTTATAATTTCAAAGTATTCAAACAATTGAAATTTATAAAAGAGCAAGGGATATTTTGAATTTCCATTAGCAGAAATTCACAATACAAAACTTGTCTGTTTTGCTTTGTAGCAGGTGTATTGCGTTTTTATTTATTTATTCGTAAAATGTTGTATTTGAGTCGTCTATTATCAAAGGTGGCAATCTGTGCATTTGGACAAAAAAAATTTATTGATATGTCAATACAGATTGATTTGAATATAATCGTCTCCTTCAAAGAATACGGTTCAAAACCTGCATTAAATAAAGGTTATTAGTTAACCTGTTATTTATCTAAGATGTCGTTGCGAAGAGTTTTGTGACTGCCAATGGAATACAAAGTCAATAATTCGTTTTTCTGATTTACCAATCATTGTCCAAAAGTCAGATTGCCGGCTTTGATAATAGTCGACTCATTTCTCTTATGTTGCAAATGAATCTTCTCTTGTAATGTGCTGATGAGGATCAAGTACTTTAATTATTTTTACGGTCTAGAACACATGTATGTAGCCTAATAGGTAGTAAGTTATTACATTCACTGATGGACTGCAACAATAATGGTTTAGCCGCTGCCTTCCTTGAAGTGCTTAGGTTAAATTTTATTTGAAGGTGTATAATAATGTAGTATTGAGGAAACACTACAGAGTTTATACATATCCATGAGATAAACTGGTGGTAGGACCGGTTGTGAGTCTGCACGGGTAGGTATCACCAACCTGCCTATTTTTGAACGTGAAGTAGTAATGGCTTGAAGGGTGGGGCAGCCATTGTAACTATACTGAGACCTTAGAGCTTACATCTCAAGATGGGTGGCGCATTTACGTCGTAGATGTCTATGGGCTCCAGCAATCACAACACCAGGTCGACTGTGGCTCGTCCATCCCTCTAAGCAATAAAAAAATAGCTGGACATCACTTTTTTTCATTAAATTCACTTCACTTTTATACATAGTAAGGTTTATACAAGTTCTCATCGTCTTATAGAAGGCTAGTTTCTGTACAATATTTATGTAATTAAATATAACCATTGAATGTATGAGCTATAACTTTACAGCCAATGTCATAAACAGAGAGTGCAACTGTACTCTCCCAGAACAGTGTTTTTTGCTTATGGTTTTGTGTATCAAGCAAGGAAAACCAACTGATATCTATATTTCTTACTAGATTACCAAATTAATTTATTCCTACTGTGAGAGACCCTCCTTAGCCCTTACATTGTGATTACAGGATAATTAACTACCTTTTAGTTAGAAACAATAGATTCATCATCTATGGGGGTGGGATAGACATTTACTATATATGGGCCAGGACTGTTTCCCGATTCAAGCCCCTACACTCAAAGTGCCACATTTCATTGATAGGTCACCTGCCAGTCTTCAGTCCATCTGTATACTTTATACCTGATAAGCTCTTCCAGAAGAGTATGAGTGACTTCAATTGCAAGCTTCAAGATCGGATTGCTTAATCACAACCTCTAGATATAGGCACCACAACCTGTTATTAGACAACCTCACATTTGATATCGCCACATCCCAAAGCTTAAATTATATACCCTGGTCCCTGTCCTACTACCAAACCAATCATGCGGAGCATGGTAGGTTCACATATGCTGAGCCATTTCACCAAGGAGCACTCCACCTTCTGGTACAGGCTCCCAACGTTCTAGTCATAGATATTATAATAATTGTACATCATAAATAGATCAATGAAGCAAATTATAGCAGAGGATGTCTAATATAGCTTTAAACTACCTGATGAGAATGCAACCAATGATGAGAATGACACACACCTGGTAACAATTCATACCCTATGATGCTAATTTGGGTTATTATGAGGGGCTTTAGAGCATGATGTAAAGCTCCTCATTGTTGACGTTACAGATGCAAAGAGGGTTATTTTTCTAGACATACATACACTGCAAGCTCAGTTTACACAAGTACTCAATTCGCGGATTGCGATGGGTGATGGAGATGTCCGGCGCAGAGCTCGCCTCTCGCCGATAAGTTAAAATATGAGAACTACGACTATTACTGGTTGTTTGGCGTCTTGTGAGCCTGCACTGCTAAGTATCGTCACCGCTCTATTTCCACCGCGAAGAGGGATAGCCGTAGTATTAAACAACTGAGAACTCATATCTAAAGGTGGCGACTGGTGGTAGGACCTCTTGTGAGTCCGCGCGGGTGGGTACCACCACCCTGCCTATTTCTGCCGTGAAGCAGTAATGCGTTTCGGTTTGAAGGGTGGAGCAGCCGTTGTAACTATACTTGAGACCTTAGAACTTATATCTCAAGGTGGGTGGTGGCATTTACGTTGTAGATGTCTATGGGCTCCCGTAACCACTTCACACCAGGTGGGCTGTGAGCTCGTCCACCCATCTAAGCAATAAATAAAAAAATCATCTTGTCCTGTCTGAGACCCCCAGTAAGCATTTAACATGTGATAGGCGGTAAGCTCGTTAACCCCTCCATGCAATAAGCTAATAACAGTTAGAAAAAAATTCGGCTGCAACGCTATGCCATATCGTATTTGATACATAACATGAGATCCCTACCCGCCAAATCACTGTTCTCGCTAGACTAGTCTCGACCGCCGCTGTCGAAAGACTTATTTTTCTCGGCGTGAAAATAAGCGAGCTTACCGTCATTTGTGCGATGAACGGCTTGTCTCTGTGCCCACAGTACGGCTAGTAACCATGTGTCGTCACACCCTGGTTATTGATTTATTTATTTATTCATTATACGCAAGTCCGGAAACAGAACAACGAAAGATCACTAATTAGCTCTCTATTACCCTCCTCGTGTTTAGACAAAAGTGAGTGTCTACTCTTCGGGTGCCATCGGGAAAAAATTTGGTACAAGGGTTCGATTTACAAAAAGTACCTCACTGGCGCACCGGACCGTCTCGTGCTCATCTTACAAAATTACTTGTCGAATCATTTGTTTCGGTATCAGACCGAGGGAACTCGTTTTCCTCCCAGCCCAAGCGCGGCTGGAAACTCGTAGATGTATTAGCGAAGTAGTTCCCCTTAAATTGATAGGCCACGGAGGCGCCCGGGCAGCACTAGTCGCACCCGCCGTACCTGCCCTGAGAAGATTAAGTCGGAACGGATCCGGGCTACCATTTATCCCCCGAAAGAAGATAACAAATATATCAATTCTTAGCTACTTACCAAAATACTTTACTTCATTGATTGTTATTGTCAAAGTAACATAACAAAGTGCTGATTTTAATATCTCGAAACTGTGTCCTTAAATTTCAGGAACAAAACTATAACCCTGGAGAGACTAAAGCGCAGCATCATGACGGAGGTGCGCAGCGGTGATCAAGAGGGGCGTTGTCTAGCTCAGTACAAACGCGAGATGGAGCTGCTGCAGCAGGAGAAGATGAGCCATGTGGAGGAACTTCGACAGATACATGCCGATATTAATGCAGTAAGCTATCTATATATTAATACGTGAAGCAAAAACTTTCTACCCCTTCTTACGAAAATTGCGCGGACGGAGGAGTATGAAATTTCCCACACTTATAGAGAATATAGAGAAGGAGTGCACAATGCTATTTTTTTTTAATATTATGCATTAAAAATACTTTAAATCAATAAAGAAAACATTACACACATACCATGTATTTGACACATACACATATACACTTTGTTTATTGTCAAACTTTTGTTATTGCTTAAAGTCTGTAGTCAAAATGAGAATAGGTTAATATTCTTTATTTTTAATATTACAAGTATTTGTCTATAGTGTAGTCTTGGCGAAATCTGCGACTATAGAAATATAATAGTCCAAACTTATAATGTTAATTAATTATAGTCGAATTTCGACTACTGCGGGAACACTAGTTTTAATTAATACTAGCGACCCGCCCTTGCTTCGCTTCGGAAACATTAAAACACACATGAAACCAAAAAAATAATATAATTTTTTTTTTCAAAAAAGTAGCCTATGTTCATCAGGGACAATGTCGGCTTCTAATGGAAAAAGAATTTTTCAAATCGGTCCAGTAGTTTCGGAGCCTATTCGAAACAAACAAACAAACAAATCTTTCCTCTTTATAATATTAGTATAGATTAGGTCTTTACTTATGAAGTTGCTGTTTAGTTCATAGAAAGTTAAAGTTTTTTTTTTTATAAATCTATTAATTAAAATAAGCACCCCTGGTATTGATATATTTGTCAGCGCAGTGTTAAAATTTCAACGCCTTTCTTGAAGAAGTCAGGTACGGAACAAATAAACCGTTCAAAGGGCTTTTGTACTGCTTCTAGGGTACTGAATTTTTTCCTTGCTAAAAATTTGTCTATACTTTGGATAAAGTAGAAGTCTGTCGACGCAAGGTCTGGTAAGTAAGGCGGATGACGCAAACCTTTCAACCCTAGCTTTTGTAGCTTAGATAACGTCTGTTGTGGCATATGAGGTTCAGTGTTGTCGCGTAAGGGCAGCGGGGACTAACGATTAACCAAGGCCAGCTGAAGATTCTCTCGCTTCTCCATCATTGTGCCCACTTCTTCACAGTTCACATTGGCAGTAATGCTAGTGCTATTTGTTAAGCTGTGATGAAATATACTGGCACTCAACCAAATATCGATGTATAGTGTCGGGGACAGAATTTTCCACGAGATGCCCGTGCGGAGGTGGCTACAATAAGCGACTCCGCTACAGTCCTCGCGCGACATCCGCGCCCCGCAAGGACAGCGCCCACCTTAGATTTAATTCGGAATGTGTTTACCTTGCCAAACTGCAAACTGCAACTTAAGCCAACTAGCTCCCCGCGACTATACTGGGATAGCCGATAATCTCCATAAGAAAAAGAGGATTTGCGGAGTCATCATTCCTAAAAAAGAATACTTTGTCAGGATTCATACAAGAATATTATATGATTTTGCGGATTCAATGAATATGCGCTAAAAAAACCTGGTATTGAAAACATGCTAGTAGTGAACAGTGCTAGGGCTGCCACACTCAATAATGGCGATGTTATATATTTTTTTTGATCGTCATGAGGTTGTTGCTCTTGCCACCATACAAACTTATTTGACTATGGCCTGAATCTCGCTTACGACATTTTCAAGATAAACTTGCATATATATACAAGTTCCGAACAACAACATACGGACCGTCGGTCTACCGAGCAATATCACCCGCTCGATGGAAGATCTTCCCTTTGTCGTATAACTACGCGGCGTGATCGCAGACCGGCTTAACATGAGGGCGGAAGGTCATGTATGTATTCAGAATGACTTCGAGATATGAATGGCCTTCCTAGAACAGGGTATTTGAATGGCACGAGAAGATAACCGGGGGCCGATATTGCTTTGTTTAATGTGGCAGGGATTCGCATAGTATCCTCACTTTAAAGGAGCACGGCCATGTTTCCCGCAGGGCTCACTTCAAATAAATATGTTTCAAAGAGCAGAGTCGCGTTTTGGTTTTATTTTTAAACCGGCGGCCCTATATAAGAGTTGTTGTTTGTTTACATTGTCTACAGTTAAACTTTACTGGCAGAGAACATTCGTATCATGTCGATTGTGTTTATTTGAACGCGCCCGTTGTTGCAGGCCGCGCACACGACTAGCTCATTGTCGTTTTAAATAGAAATTATTGTTTTTTGTTCGGATTCTGTTCTATTGGCCTAACGTTAGAATGAATCAGTTATTGACGCATTTATTGAAACTAGAAAGCAGTATGGTCTGAATTCGGTCACTTCAAATATATATATACGTGAAGCAAAAACTTTGTACACCTTATAGAGAATACAGAGGAGTGCAGAACGCTAATATATTTTTTTAATTATGTATAAAAATACATTAAATCAGCTTGAAAAACATTACACACACTCCCATATATTTGAAACACACACGCATATATACTCTTTGTTTATTGTCAAACTTTTGTTATTGTTTAGTCTGTGGTTTATTTGAAAATAGATTGAAATTTTTTGTCGTTAATATTATTTGTTAATAGTGTAGTCTTGGCGAAATCTGTAATTACAAAAGTTTTATAGTCTTGACATTATAACCATAATAATGTTTAAGCTTATAATTGAAATTAAATATGGTCGTATTTAGACCACTGGGCGAACGCTCGTACAAAATTAATGGGTTTTATTTTTAGAGTATCAACTATTTTCACATAATGATGTAATAAATAAAATTAATGTTCTTCAGTTGGAAATTCGCGTTTGATCGAGGCTTCTTTAGAAATAAGACAAACGGTGTACAAGACATCACACACCACTTGTATTCTTGTGACGGTAAATATTTAACATTAAAACAACAAACATCATGGAATAAGGGTAATTGGATAAAATTTCATATTACATACGAGTTCCGAACGACAACATAAGGGCCGCCGGCGTCCGAGCAATATCCCTCTCTCTCCCTCTCTCTCTCCCTGCTTCTCTCTCTCCCTCTCTCCCTCTCCCTCTCCCTGCTTCTCTCTCTCCCTCTCTCCCTCTATGGAAGTATTTCTTCTCGTACCGCACCGCAGCCTCCACCACATTATTTTGAGTCACTATCCCTCTCGGACCAGCGTTGTAGTTGACTAAATACGTAATATATGTTAAATCTGTAAATATGTTTCTCAAATATAATCGTTTAAAGTATTCGGTGGAGGCGAAGAGGTCAATCAGAAGCTGTGTGTTATAGAAGGTGTACAGCGAATGTGTAAAAAGTCGCCTTCATCCGCTACTAAATCACCTATAACTTTGTTATTCCCGAACAGATCTCGTTTTGATTCGAATTAGTAAACGATGAACCAGCCTGTTAATGAAGCTGTCAATATTTGTGCGCCCCCGTGCGCGCCCAGGCTGCACAAATAGCTCAATTAATGTATTACTATCACAAGAAAATGATTTTGAGCTATCTAGGTATTTCGTAATTATCCTATATTTATGTATATTTTCCAGATGGAAACAGTAATAAAGCAGACAGAAGAGAGCATGACCCGCAAGTTGTCGAGCGCGTCCCGTCTACACGAGGAGTATCGACCGTTGAAGGCTGAGGTGGACCTGCTGCGGAGACAGTACCTGGGCCTGGAGCGACTCCCCGACCTGCACGAGGAGGACGGCAGCCCCATCACGCCGGAGTGAGTGCCGCCCCCCCGCCGCGCCGCTGGCCGCGAGCCGCCACTAACGGTCCCCCCTGTCCGCAGCCGGTTCCCGCGCGCCGTGCCGCCGCCCCCGCCGCGCGGCTGCTTCCCCCCGCTGGCGAGCCGCAAGCCGCCCCCGCCCCCCGCCGCCTTCAGGTCTGCTCTAGAACAAGATTTCATTACCGTCTCGCTGAGGTTCGATTCTGTTCAGTTCTTTTTGTTTGCATTTTTATTCACAGATGTACCTTCTCCTGCTTCCTTCCCACTTGGACACGCAAAATTTCCATTCAATTTCATTTAAAAAAGTACAATGATCTGCCTGGTCTCCGCAATCCTCCCNCCGCCCCCGCCCCCCGCCGCCTTCAGGTCTGCTCTAGAACAAGATTTCATTACCGTCTCGCTGAGGTTCGATTCTGTTCAGTTCTTTTTGTTTGCATTTTTATTCACAGATGTACCTTCTCCTGCTTCCTTCCCACTTGGACACGCAAAATTTCCATTCAATTTCATTTAAAAAAGTACAATGATCTGCCTGGTCTCCGCAATCCTCCCACGGGTCCCCGGTCAGCACGGCCGAGAGCGGGCGGAGTGGCCTCGTGTGTTCTAATTTATCGAATACTTAATTAAATGTCGACTACTTACAGTACCTACTGCGCACGAAGCTGTAAATAGTAGTTGTTAACACCCTATACCCGATGACCGCAGCTCCGTGAGCGGCTGGTCCGAGCTCGCGACTCTGTTGTCATATTTAACCTACTTCAAACAAGGATGGAGTTCTCGGTTGGCAGGCAGGCGTCCAGGCAGCGTGCATTGTACCTTATTACAAAAATTAAATAAATATATCCCGACTGACCCCGTCTCCTATCTACCTGATCCCACATTCTACTATAATTTACTATTAATTTTCTTTATCAATGTTATATATAATTTCTTTGATTTTTGCTTATATTTTTGGACGCACACCCGCCACACACACACCAAGCACAAGTGTAGCTAATATTAAAAAATAAATTAATTAACAAGTAATTGTTATGGATCGTTCGCGGACGTCATTCGCACGAGAGCTGCCGCCGCGGGCCCGGACTTGGTACATCGGAGCGTCACATATATGAACATTGTGTCCTCCCCGACGCGGCGGCAACACAACCTCTCACTTCATTACATTTAGAAAAAAAAAGTAACAACTCAGCCTCGCGACCCAAACTTTTATAAAGAATCTGGTTGTGTCGACCGGTTTACTGATGCAACCGTGTCGCCACGCCGCAACCAGAGCGCGTGAACACAGTCCAACAAAGCTGTGGGTCACTGTAGTGTGAGATGAAACAAAATCAGTGTTAGAAGTTTACTCAAGCCATATTACACTTATTCATTATTACAATACTAATGAAGTGCCTAAACCTTTCTCAATTTTATAATAAATTCTAGTACGTTACAAGAAATATAGTGTATAGCTGTTGCGTGTAGCAGTGCTAGTGACTAAGGACCGGGAGGTTATTGTTGACTTGCAGACAGCAGCCGCCGCCGATGAAGTCGTGTCTGTCGTGCCACCAGCAGATACACCGGAACGCGCCGATCTGTCCGCTCTGCAAGGCCAAGAGTCGCTCCAGGAATCCCAAGAAACCCAAGAAGAAATAGTTCCCGAGCACACTGCGGATCGCCGCGGGAACACTGCGGGGACCTGGGGGATCCCGCGGCGCCGCGGGGACACTGCGGCGACAGGAGGGACCTCGCTGCGCCGCGTTCCATACGAACATAATTTTTAGTGGTGGTAGGACCTCTTGTGAGTCCGCGCGGGTAGGTACTACCACCCTACCTATTTCTGCCGTGAAGCAGTAATGCGTTTCAGTTTCAAGGGTGGGGCAGCCGTTGAACTATACTGAGACCTTAGAACTTATATCTCAAGGTGGGTGGCACATTTACGTTGTAAATGTCAATGAGCTCCAGTAACCACTTAACACCTGGTGGGCTGTGAGCTCCTCTACCCATCTAAGCAATAAAAAAAACATAAGTTTTTTTATGTTCTTAATTATGTATTTTGAACGAGCACCCGCGGACAGCGCCTGCCGCGCCCCCTCCCCCCAACCCCCCGAGCGGTACTGGAGGCAGCCCTTGCACTTGTTTTGTTAACGAAAGCTCCGAACTAAACTAATATGACAAACGTGACTTTGGTGGAACGCACAGACATAGTTTGGTCTAGTGGAACCGGTGAACGGACCGGTGGTAGCAGTAGCAGCAGTAGTAGTAGTACAAGTAGTAGTAGTAGTAGGCCGGAGGGTGACGAGCGACTGTCGATCCTCCTGTTCCTGGATAACACATTTGACGCGGGTGAAGTCGCGGGGCGCGGTATTTCATGTTTTGGGAAGACATTCCCTAAACTTCGTTTTTTCTTGATCACTTCTATTATGTATTTAATTTGAGTTGTAAATTGAACGCGTGTAAATGTATGTAAATATAGTGTTTTTATAAAGTTGATATAGGGAATATACCGTGTATGTTGTATGTAGTCAGCTCACTCGAGGCAAACTTGTTTAGTGCCAATATTAGTGTAAATACGTTTGTGTAAAATATGTATGGATTTTTCTTAATAAAATATTCTTAGTGTTTAATTCAGTATTATTATTTTACACCACAACATGGCTGACTTATATTTTTGTCTAAATGCTTGCAAGAAAATGACTACTCTACTGGTAGGTATTGTTACGCCGGTAAGAGTAGCGCCATCTATCGCCCAATAGTCGAATAAATGTCGAAGGATCTAGTAGCATCTAGAACACTCGAGAAGTACAACGCCATCTAATGTCAGATAACGGAAACACAATACTCGAAATGTGTGGAATATTCTCGATAATTCTAGGGATGTGATATCGGCTATAATAGCATTGCAGAGATGGCACGCAGTTGGTTAGTAATCGAAACTACTCAAAGAGAAACAGCGAACGGATCACCTGAAGCGAAGCGGAAGAAGTGAATTGAGAATTTTGAAGTGTTTGTTGAGTGTTTTAAGTGTTCTAAATGTAATACACTGGTAACTTGTAATTCGGTAGAATTTTATTTATCCCGAACTCCAGCGCGTAACAGTATGTTTATGTTCATGTTGTTCTAACCTTTGCTGCATAGAAAAACTGATCATACACTCTCCCTCATCTCTATTCCTTAGATATTAATCACATGGACCCTAATTGCCTACGCAGACCGCAATTTCAAAGGGCCAGTCGGGTGGGACAGTGCTGGCGTGGTGGGAGAGTACAGGCGGGGTGCGTCAGTGCCGGGGCGGGTACTATCAACAACGAAACTCGTTAAAACGCAAATCATGATAGGAACGCGTCGACGTCCGCGGCCGCCATCTCCAAGCGATCGGCGGCTGGTTCTTCCGCCTGACGTACGTAACGCAATAACGGCCCTGCCCTTCAAACCAGACAGCACGACACTCCGCAGGTGATGTTGGTAATTCCGGACAAAGGTCAAAACGTTTTTGTCGTGACTAAGGACGAGAAAAAAAATTGAACACAACTTATAACATCACAACGACCTGACCGACGCCGCCGTGGAAACGGCAGCCGCGCGGTCAAATGCTTACGTCACAAACTGACCGCATCATGCTAACGACATGGCTTACTGAAGGTTGTCGTTGTACCTACTGTACTGTCTACTGGTCATGTGTTCATGTCAACGTCAGGCTGTCTGATCGGAAGATATTAGAACACAACAGAAAATCCGTGCACTGAAAAAGATGGTGTTGAAGTGAAATGAAATTTTTATAAATAAATATCTTTATGACGCCATATCGTTATTTTTAAGTATTAATCAAACGAAATACAGATGTAACAAAAATTAAATTAAAATAAATTCCCAAAGTACTCAACAGCCGGACAACAAAGTGAGGATTGACCTTGTGCGGGCGACAGGGAAGTAGACCTCTGGAGCCGTACCTCTTCATCTACGATCCTCCGCACTCCTGGCAGGCCGGACTGGAACGGTTATTAAGTTTTTACATATTTGTGCGGCTTGACATGAAATCGAGATTATTATGTTAATCGTAACTAGTGACAGAGGAAATAAGTTCACAAGATCTTCCTGTTTTGTTCAGCGCTGTGTATGATTCGTGATATGAATTCCTTCCGTGTGCGAGTTAGAACCTTGAATCATTTTGTATGGCGCGACTACGCGGGGAGACGTCCTACAGAGCGACGCGGCGCGACCCTCCACAGCCGATCGATGGAGCGTCTTTGTTCGGTCGGTCGATGATAGATGGCGCCACAATTCAGATATAACCTTTAGCTTAACATTATACAAACAGCATAGTATTTCCGAAATGATGATTATAAGCGATACAATATTAAGTTACGGAGATCGGACGTCGGGTGTAAGAGTGCAGGGGAGTCGTTTAGTGGGTGGGCCCTAAAATCCTTGGGCCCGCGATCTGCTCTCAACACCTGCAGATCGTTGAGTCTCACATACCCCGCGCGCCCCTTATGCGCGGGGACCTCGTAGGAGGTTAGGCCCAAGGACCGAAAAAAAAAAAAAAAAAAGTATCCAGTAGCTGTGGTCATCATCATCATAATCGATTGCTCTTGGCAGAGCAGTCGTGGTCATGTGGAATTCTTGCTTATTAAAGCCTTCACAGATGTTAACCATAGTTTACAAACCGAGGCCTGGCGCACACGCTCGTTAAGTGGGGTTTCAGTAAGGTCTTTCACCTGATCAGTCCAGCGCATAGGGATTCGTCCACGAGATCTCTTACCATTGACCCTACCCTGAACAATAAGCTGTGGCGACGCGTCTAATAATCTCCCTACTTTTGTAAATCCACGGTAGTGTCCGGTCACGCTCCGCTATGACTAGTCCCGCGGCGTCTGACCTAAGGTGATGGTATTACCTCAAATATTAAATGTATAATCTATAGTATTATACGTAGAGTACCAAGTAGGTACCAAGTTTCGGTCCGATCGGGTGAATAGCTTCAGAATGCACAAATTATGGGTGAACGTGCTTACGGTCCACCTGATATTAAATGGTTACCGGAGCCCATAGACATGAACAACGTAACTGATGGTAGGACCGCAGTCCGCGCGGGTAAGTACAACCACCCTGCCTATTTCTGCCGTGAAGCAGTAATACGTTTCGGTTTGAAGGGTGGGGTAGCGTTGTAACTATACTTGAGACCTTAGACCTTTTATCTCAAGGTGGGTGGCGCATTTACGTCGTAGATGTCTATGGGCTTCAGTAGCCACTTAACACCAGGTGGGCTGTGAGCTCGTCACACCCAACTAAGCAATAGAAAAATAATAATAATAATACAGTCACCCGCCTTGAAACATGTCTTCATGACTTCAAAGTTTCCGTTTTTACAGTACGACTGCCCCACCCTATAAGACGAAATGTATAACTGCTTCACGGCAAAGAGAGGCGGGGTGGTATCAACCCGTGCGGGCTCAACCTGAGATAAATGCAAATGATTCACTAAATATACCACTGGGTCGGAATCGCGAACCGGTGAGAAACTCAGTGGGTTGGGTCTATTGGTTAGGTTGCTCGTCAAACTCAAGATTTTTTTTTATTGCTCGACATTACAGGCGCTGCGGCTAGGTCTCTTGACATTACAGTGAATTCCCATTTCGGAGCTCCACTATTGGCAACAGTCGACAGAAATCTTAAATAAATATATAACGTTTTTTATTGTGATCGTGTATGGAACCGGCAGTTCCCCAGCTCCGAGCCTGTGCATGGCCAGTTTGTTTCCTTGAAGCGGCGCCATGAGAGAAATAAACTAGATCAAGTCGATACTTATCTATACATACACTGTTATTTGTGGGTTTGACGTTATTTTTTTCTGAACTTACATACCTACACATATTAAATTACTTGGTAAAGAGGTCACTAATATTATCAGCAAGTCAAATTATTTGATGAATCAACATCATTTATTTAAACTGGAATGTTTCTTTCAATTGAAAAGGCAAAACACAATCATGACTTTATTCGTACTTCCGTCGAATTTTGTACTAACCGAAATGACTTCACAGTATTATGATAACTTCATTGTTAGTTCGGTGTAATGAATAATTTTTCAGTTGTTTATATTAATTGTCTCATTAATGTTCTTTTATTATTTTAGACGAGCAGACGTAGCTCACCTGATACTAAGTGGTTTTTGGTCTATGACTAGGATCACGATCCTTAAGACCTGGATTTTATGTATCACTATTAAGTACGAATTTACAACAATAACATTATTTCAGACACACATCGATTTGGGTTATGCTGGATTATCATACTTGACAATATGTTTGAAATGAACGTACCAGCGATGGGTCGTGAGTTTTCTCCGCATCTTTTATTGAATTTAACTGCGAACCTTCCTCTGGTCTGGGAGACCCTGTAACGTGCGGAACCCGAAACGCCTTACCGTTGATTTACGCAATATATAAAATAATTACCTATGTCTCTGTGGTTTATTATTTGGACCAGAATGAATCAACACCAGCTGAAGTTAGTATTTAAAAAGGTCGTTTTGAATGTCTTTAATATTAATCATACAGTATAAAAGTTTACCTTTAATTTCAATAGGAAGTGTAACACTAATTATTATTGTTAAAATATATTACGCAGCTGGTATTTAGAAACAAAGACTTGTAGAGACAATGAATCATAGGCATCATTAATGTTTGTTCTGTACTAAACAAAATTTGTAAACTATTATGAATAATTAATTTGAAATTTAATGACTCTATTTTATGTAAATATTTAAACGCAAAAATATATATTTTACTAGGTTCCTTCCTATTCGGAAGGTGCCAGATCAATGGCATGTATTATTGCATCATGCATGACACTATA